AGTTAACACTTGTACTCCTCCCTGTGTCTCCTGCTACCTTCGTCTTTCCTCTGCTAACCTCCTCCTTGTTGTATATTGCCTGCCTCGTCACCCATTTTAACACTTGTACCCTCTAGCCAGTGAATAATTTTCCCTCCCCATCTGCTGACCATCTTAGAATGTTTGTTCTATCAAGAAAACCTTTTCTGAACTTTTTACTACAGCATCCTTTTGTGATTGACTAACTTCACTCAGCATAATGTCATCCAGGTTCATTCATGATGTGAGGTGTTTTGCAGATTCATCGTTACTTTTCACCACTGCATAGTATTCCTTTGCGTGTATGTGCCAAAATTGGTTTAACCATTCTTCTGTTGATGAGCATTTAAGCTGTTTCCATCTTTCGCATGTGTCTCTTGTAGACAGCATATTGAAGCATTTTCTTATCCATTCTCCTCTCTCTGTCTGTTGATTGGTGCATCTAAACCATTTGTACTCAGTGTAATTATCTAGGGGTATGAACTGATTGCTGTTATTTTGCTTTATGGTTTTTGGTGGTGCTGCTGCTTTCTTTTTGCCACATGATTTTCTGCACTCAGTTCATTTTTTTTATGGGTTTTCCATTCATTTTTCATTTCTGTTGTGTTCATGTTTACTGAATCTTTCTGATTTTCCTCTTTTTATTTGGGTGGGAAGGTGTATTATTTTTCTTTGAGGTCATCCTGTAGTTTATTAAATTTTTCTGCATTCAAAACAGTCAGTTTTATCTTGAAATCTACTTGGTTTCCTTACCATTTGGAAGTTCTGTATTGACTCTATTCCGTTTTTGTTTTGTAGTTGACTTCATTATACATTGATATCTCTGGTTCCCTATTTTCATTCTTGTAGGCTTGTTTTACTTTAAATACTTCTATATCTGGATTGAGTTCTAGGTAGTGTTATCCTATATGTTAATCTCAGGTGGTTGTTTGCTATTGTTGGTTCTTCGTCCATAGAACGCCCTTTAGGATTTTTTGTAAAGTTGGTCCGGTTGTTACATTTCTGTGTATCTGGGAATGTCATAATTTTGCCAGCAATATTTTTCTGTCAGAGTTTTGTATGTGTCATTCCATTGCCTTCTTGTCTACATGGTTTCTGCTGATAAATCAGAGCTTAATCTTATTGGTTCTCCTTTGTAGGTAATATTTCGGGGGGTTTTCCCGAGTTGCTCTCAGGATTCTTTCCTTGTCTTAAGTTTTGTAAAATTTGACTATGAAATGTCTTGGTAATTTCCTTTTGTGATTTGTTCAGCTTCCTGTATGCTTATCTTCTTGTCTTTCATGATGTTAGGGAAGTTTTCTTTCAATAGCCCCTCAACAATTTTCTCTGTGCTTTTGATATATATTCCTCTTCTGGAATTCCAGTCACCTGTAAGTTATGGTGTCCCACACAGCTCTTTAGCATTTCTTTGGATTTTTTCATTCTATTTCTCTGATTGTTCTTTTAGCATACTAATATTGAGAGATTTATTTTCAAGTTCACTAATTCTGGCTTAAACTGCTGCAAATCTGCTCCTTTGTCCTTCAATGTATTGTATATTTCTGAAATCTTAGTATTAGTCTTCTAGATTTCTAATTACAGGTTTTGTATTGTTTCAAGATTTGTACTTATTTTTCTTCTTGTAGTGTTTTCCTGGACTCTTCTAAATTCTTTTCCTGTGTTCTCCTTGCTTTCCTTAATCTTTCAGTCAGATCCTTTGAAGGTACCTCAATATCATTTTTTATTATCAGTTTTTTCTATTACCATTTCTTCCTCAGAAATGTTTTCTGCCTCTGTATCTTGGTCATTTGTTTGAGTCATTCTCTCTTATTTCTTTGTATGAACTGAAATTATCTGTTGTCCCCAGGACAGTATGGTGTTGTATTTGTATTTAATTGATGATTGTTTATTGGTGGGTTCTTGGGCTCTCACCAGCTGTCTCCTGTGGGTGTGGTTAGAGAATGGAAGCGTGTGCACTGTTCTCTGTTCCCTGTTCATGCACCTCAGTGTAGGGTGGGTTTGACTGGTGTTAGCTGCTGTCTGTGGCTGGCCAGGTGGTATCGGAGCTGGTATTGACTCTTGCCCAGTGGGTGGAGCTACAGAGGGTAATTGTGGCTGTGGTATATGGGCATGGTTACTGTCTCCTGTCAAATGGGAAAGAGGAGACCCACACAAACATGCACATACACACTCAAGACAACAATACAGAATAAACTAACAAACGACTTACAATGAAAAGAGAAAATAGTAAAGGAGAAAAAAAATACAAGCAGCATCCAGAAAAAAAAAAAAAAAACAAAGAATATAATAACTAAATGAAAAAAGAGAAAGGAAAATGGAGCTACAGAAAAGAAAACTAAGAGAGAAAATAAAGGGGAGGACTTAGAAAACCCAGAGAAAGGGAAGATGAAAAGAGAAAGAGAGAGTTGTTGCTGTTAAGTGCCATCGAGTCAATTCTGACTCAGAGTGACCCTGCATCGGGTTTCTTGGAAACCCAAGGAGCGGCTGTGAGTTGTGGTTCAAACCAGCATTGCAGTCAAGTGCTTATCCTACAATGACAAGATCAAAAGGGAGAAAGAAGGGGAAATGAGAAACATCAGAAAAGCAGGGAAAACAAAAGTTGAAACAGAAAGGATAAAATTCAAGGGAATAGAAAGAGAAGAGAGAATAAGCAAACAAAGACAACGGAAGGAAAAACAAAACCCAATGCAGCTGTTGGACTCAGTGAGGAGGAAACCCTGGTAGCCAAGGAACTTCGAGGTGGGTGCAGGAGAAATGTGACAACAGAGTTTCTGGTCCTCGAGGGAAATCTGTAGACCTAGGTATTACCTATGATCAGGACACTCCATCCAGAAGTAGTTAGAAGTTGCACCTATTGTATTTTTTTAACTTTACCAAGTAAGTGATACTGGGTTATCCTGAAACCTGTAATTCAGTTTGCATCCTTAAAAGTCATTTCCTAAAAGTAATGATTCTATAGCTATTTTATGATTGTATAACTCTCGTATGAGTCAAGGCTATCTACTCCAGTTGATTCGAACAAGGTAAAGCAGGGTTGCATACCTTACCCTATTTATTCCCTCTAGGGAACCTGGACAAAGACAAAGATATCACTCAGTTTCTGAATGCTGATCTTGGGCTATACTTTTGGAACTCAGGGAAATGCTTTCAATTTAAAGGCTCTGAGCATCATTAAAAATCCAGAAGCAACTGTGTCTGCATTCCTGACAATTTTTCCTAAAAGACATAGAAGGGATTGTGGCATACTTTTCAAAATCAACATAACATTTTGTGCTCAAGCTCCCTTGGCAGTGACCAGAGTCACAAGCACAAAACCAACAGGAATGAAACCGAGGTTGGCCATTGCAGTCTTAAATGGGTATTTTGGCCAATAGTAGTATTTTGACTTCTAATACACTCTTTTAACAGCTCTTAAATTGCAATTTATCTTACTAACTTGTCAAATTTCATTCACATGTTTGTTTTTTCCCCTTAATTAAACATGTAATGGCATGGCTTACATTCTTTGGCATCTTTAAGCTTAAGGAAGTGAGATATAAATTGATTAAAATAATTTACTTGGTTTCTAAAATCTATTTAGTACATAACAGTGATAAAAATGTGAATTATATTTATTTTGCAATAGCTGTCTTGACAAATATTGGACCCAGATCATCGCTTAGTGATTTTCACTGTTGTTTTACTGTCTTCTGCAGAGAAGAATCATATAAATAAATTATCTCAAGTAAACCTAATTTTATACAGATTACTTACTTTTTGTGCTTCTCCCTTTTCTTTTAACTTGTTTCGTGAGTGTATTTTCAACCAGTATTTTCTTCTTGTTGTTAAGGGCCATCAAGTTGATTCCCACTCATAGCGACCTTGTATAGTGTTTCCAAGAAGCAGCTGGTGGGTTTGAACCACAGACCTTGTGGTTCATGTTCCATTGTTTATTCTACAGCACCACACCAGAAGTCTAGTTGTTGCTGATAATATTTTTTTGTATCTTTTAAAAATTAATGATTGAAGTTTGGATTGATTACTTCTCTGTCCTACCAGGTTTTTTTCATCTGAGTTAAACTAGAAATGCCTTCTGCATCCTATACATAAAATCCTATAGATATGTTAGTATTTGAATCTCTTCTCCTTTGTAGATTTCTTTCTGTCCCGGGTAAATGCAGTATAACCTTTATGAGCTGGGATGATTCATGAATAACTAGTTTATTCAAACAGGTCTTCTGATTAACTGATGCTTCTGCAGTTTCTAAAGTGTATTCATTTCCGTGCAGTTCAAACTGACCATGCAGTCCAGTACTGTCTTTGTGAGCACCACACCAGAACTCCTTGTTAGCATAATAAGTACAAAATTATTTTTAGTAGAAATGGGCCCTTTTTGATGATTCTGTTGTGACCAGTCAGTATGTACCGTATGTCACATCTGTGACTCTTAACTATGGCCACAGCAGATGGGTCTTTTGACAGAATCTTATAGGATACAAGACATGATCTATTTTGCTTGTTATCCTTCTTGATGTTATGGTATGCAGAATATCTCAGTATTTGGATACCACCTAAATGAAGCTGCTTGTGGCATGAAGGGACCATTTGGGAAACTACCTTAGAATTTGTTTTCAAAAGTAAATTACAGCACATTTTGTGGGATAAGCACAGGACTCCTAACCACAAGGTTGGTGCTTCAACCCCACCAGACACCCCTTGGAAACCTTGTACACAGGGTCACTATGAGTCAAGACTCTCTCAACAGCACTTAACAACAACAAAGCTCCTAGAAAAAAATTTTAAAAACTACTTGTCTCTTCTACTCAATTAAGGTTTTTCTAAATGCAACCAAACTCCCTCTTCAGTACTAACGATGGCTCGTATATTCTTCTAAATGCTTTTCCTATGTTCTCCTTGCTTTCCTCAATCTTTCAGTCAGATCCTTTGAAGTTACCTAAAACTGGTGTTTTCCCTCTTTTCACTTTGCCTCCACTCTTTTTCAGGTCCATACATTCCGAGGGCCACACTGGTGTGAATACTGTGCCAACTTCATGTGGGGTCTCATTGCTCAGGGAGTGAAATGTGCAGGTAAGAGCCCTTTCCTTGTCTTGTCATTGAGTGAATGGAGGTTTGCTTTCATGCACCATGACTGACGAGATCCAGGTCCAGGTTTGCTCTTTGGATGCTCATGCAGGAGGGCTTAGGTTCTCAGGCTCCCGTCTTGGAAATCAATCTGCAGTCTGCTTGCCCTTAGCTGTCTTGTGCTTGATAGAACCCAACTAAAGACCTGATACTAGCCACTAAAGAGAGGTCAACTTGTTAAAAATATATAAAATAAAAGAAGATAAAAACAAAGCAGCTATATTTAACACTTGCCTTTGATCTTGTGTAACTAAATTTATAAGAAGGATTTTTTTTGTTGTTTTTTTAACTAAAGAAAGAAAAAAGCAGTGTAGAGGCATCTCTAATTATTGCCTTGGAAACTGAATTTTAAAGATAACTTGTTAAACTTTACTAAATTTTTGTGAAATGAAATTGAAGCTTTAAAAATGTATGAGTTAATCTTCAAAGATGTTGACTAAATTCTGAAAACCTACTTAGTCTTTAATGTTTTATTGTGACATTCTGAAATCTTGAATACATCAAATTCTTTTTTAAAGTATGGCCCTGGAGACACTTTGTGAAATTTACACATAATTCAGGGATTTGCTAATATACTTTGTACGATAGAGTCATTAAATACATCATGTGAAATTAATTTATATAGAAAAACTATACTGGTAGTAACCCTTGTTATTCAGACAACTCTAAATTCTGGCATATGTTTAAAAACAATCACTTAAATTTTAAATGTGTGGGTTTCTTTCCGGTTATGAGCCGTAGAACCATAAGGTAACTTTTTACATGCCTTATATTAAGCTTTATATTAGAGAAGCTTTATATAAGCTTTATATATATGAAGCTTTATATTAGAGAAGTATACAAACACTAAAATATTTCAAAATAATAACTTGGCTAATCCTGTCAAATTTACCATTGTAGAAATCTTAACTTTTTTGTAGCATGATTTTTCAAATGAATTTTTTTCCCCCCATTATTTGCTGAGACTTCTGGGGTCTGATTTTTCTTATTTCTAAATCACCTTTTCTGTAACTGTTATTGTTGTTAAGTGTCCTTGGGTCGGTTCCAACTCATAGCTACCCTGTATAGGGTTTTCATGGAGTGACTGGTGGATTTGAACCACTGACCTTGTAGCTAGCAGTCCTATATTTATCCTACAGCACCAAATGCACTTGGTGTGAGTGTTCTAAGTCACTGGTCTTTCAGTTAAGATAACCTTAGCATCACTAAGGTAAATAATCAGTGTCCAGGCATACAATACTAGCCAAACCCACTCAAGGCTATCCCTGCCATGGCATGGGATAAGAGTCTCTAAAGTGTTGACTTTGAACCATGCAAAAATGTTTGTCAGTATTGTGGATTGCATTGTTGTTGTTAAGTGCCATCAAGTCAGTTCCAACTCATAGCAACCCTGTATAGAATTTCTGAGGAGTGGGTGGTGAGCTTGAACCACCAACCTTACAATTCAAACAAACTTTAACAGTCCAGTGCATTAACCTTCAGTGCCACAGTGCCCCCTCAAAAAGATACGTTGAAGTCCAAACCCCCATTACCAAAGGTGACTTGGTTTGGAAATATAGGGTCTTGGAAGATGTTATCAGTTCACTTGAGGTCCTACTTGAGTAAGGTGGGTTCTCACCTCATCTGAATGGCATCTTGTCAAAGAGAAGAGACACCGAGAGACAAACAGGACAAATGCCGTATGATGCTGCAGCTACAAAGAATCCCATGGCTCTGTGAGAACCTAGGAAAGAGACATGCAACAGTCTCTCCCTCACAGTTTCACAAAGAGTCAGCATGGACAACACCCCGCTCTTGAATCCCAGCCTCCTGAATTGAGACACAGTGCTTTCTGTTCTTCTAATAAAGTCCCATTTCTGGTACTTGGGTATGGCAGGCCTAGAAAACTACTGCTAGCCAGAAGAGACTCGGCTCAGAGTCCAGTCTGAATCCTCTCACTTATATGTCTCTCTGCTAATAGAGTCACAAAAGGGGAAGTCTTGTTGTGGCTGGTGGGTACCCAGAGTCAGGATGAGGAGCCATCATTAGGAAGGCTGTGGTTGAGCCTTTGAACTGGAGGAGAATAAAGTGGAAGATCAAGTGTTCATGGATCGTCTACATTGTTGTGGTTTATCCAAAGTGGAATATTTCTTCTAAAGCACAAATCACCTACACAAGGAATGATGGTTTCAATAAGCCTGACTTCTCTTTATGAGGCAGCATTCGCTAGCTGTCAGTAACAGTTTTCTAAATATTTTATGACTGTTGCTAACTTAAGAGCTCCACTTAATAGACTAACAATGTGTATCATTTACTTTTTTGAAAGAATGAAGGCCATTTACATAAGAATTCTGAGTCAACTATTTGCAGAGAAGAAGCACAACATGGATAAATAATCTTTAGCAGAATGTTGCAATCCTGAATCATGTTTGAAAGAAATGTTTTGGAATATTTTCATACTAATAATATGGGGAAGGGGAGAAGAAAGAAAATTACTCACCACCATGTCTGCAGCCATCCACATTAACAGCCTTCATTTCTTATTGTTAGTGAAGAGCAAGAATTGAAAGAAAAGCTTTGAAAATTTTCTTTTAATATTTCTTCTTGTGCTTAAAAACATGACATTTGTGTGATTTGAACCGTGTCATGGGTAGTATATGAACAAATCAACCCATTTTTTAAAACACAAAGGAATGGGATTCAAATTAGTTCTGTTTTTATCATAATTAATGACTTTTGGATTGGCAGTGGGCTTCTGAGATCTTGCCCCACTGTGAGACTTGGTTGGCCCTTGAGCCATTTGATTTATGTAGAAGAGAATGCAAAGAATTATGATTTAAAAAAAAAAATAATAAGCTTGTTGTGTTAGGCTAAAAAGTGGCTTCCCCTCAATGCCCCTTCCTAATCCCTGGAACCTATGAATATGGTGCCTGTCATGGACTTTTCAGATGTAAATAGGTTAGGGTTATTGAACCGGGAAGATTATCCAAGATTATCTGAGTGGACCCAGTGAATTCACATGAGACCCTGTAACAGGGAGGTGAAAAGATGCAAGTCAGAGAAAGAAAATGTAAGAACAAAGCAGGTTAAACAAAATAGAAGATGTTATGCTGCTGACTTTGAAGATCAAGGAAGCCACCAATAGACAAGGAATGCAGACACCCTCTAAAAGTTGGAAAAGGCAAAGAAACATTTTCTCTCCTACAGCCTCCAGGGGAAGCACATGTGTGTCAACACCCTATGAAATGGATTGTGACTTCTGACATCCAGAACTGGTAAAATAATATGAGGGTATTTCAAAAAGTTCCAGGAACAATTTTAAGCACCCTCATACATTTGTATTGTTTTTAGCCCAAATTGGTGGTAATTTCCTGTAGCGCCAATATTGTGTTATGTGCTGTTGAGTCAGTTTTGACTTATAGCAACCCTGTATAGGGTTTCTGAGGAGCGACTGGTGAATTTTTACCACACCAGTGCCACACCAGGACTCCTATAGCACCAATAAGAAACTAATATACTATAAATAAAAGAGTCGCTGTGAGTTGGAACTGACTCAATGACACTTAACAACAACAAACATGGCCCTATAGGATCAGCACTGAACTGCTACCCACAAGGTTGGTGGTTCATACCCACCAGCTATTCCTCGGAAGCCCTGTGCAAGGTTGTTATGAGTTGGAACCGACTCAACGAGCTTACCAACAACAACAAACATGAAAGACATACTTGCAAAGAAAAATGACAGCTCATCATCAGTCAGAAGAGATGTTTGTGATATACCTGTGATCCCTAAGACAGCTTACTTTGTTCTGGTTCCTTTGTTCAAAGATCCCCCAAGGCAGAAAAGAGATTGTCAGGAACTTTATAGGAAAGTTTGCCAAAAGCAGCGGTTTTGTAGCTTCCTACTGCTGCCTCTTAAGGATTTCTGGTAGCTTAATGGTTACGAGTTGGGCTGCTAACCTCAAGGTCAGCAGTTTGATACTACCAGCGATTCCACAGGAGAAAGGTGAAGCTTTCTGCTCCCGTAAAAATTTATAGTCTCGGAAACCCTATACAGGGTCGCTATGGGTCGGAACCGACTTGACGGCACTTAACAACAACAACTGCTGCCTCGTTTTATTTTATTTTATTTTATTTTATTTTTAAAGTTGTGTAAAGTATTCGCTGACATTTCAACCACCAAACTAGGAGAGTTACTAAGGGAATTAGAGTCAATCTGGCTAATAGCAGGCAAGCTGCCCCATCAGGACTGAAAGCTCTAGACTTGCTGCTGAGCATCCAGATCTGTTACGGACATCAGAGGGAACAGCAGGGATGGCCAGGAGGATGTGAGAGTGCTAATCATTACATTTCTTTAAAACCCTGCAACACAAGGGAATGTTTTGAAAAGACGTTGGCGGTCCCACGTTTGTCGCAGAAGAACTGTGCTCCTTAGAGTTTTCAGTGGCTGATTTATTGAAAGTAGATTACCAGGCCTTTCTTACAGTGCACTTCTGGTTGGACTCAAACTATTATTAGCCTTTTGGTTAACAGCCAGGTGCCTGCTTTCAGCCAAAACCCTCTGGCACCAGAACTGCTATCCCTCGTTCTACGTCCTCTTCTGAATCCAGCTTGAATTTATGGGAGCTCCTTATTGATGTTCTACTGCAGTCATTTTTAAATTATTTTCAGCAAAATTTTACTTGTGTGTGACATTACTAATATTGTTCGATATGTTCTGCATTCTATTGGATAACCTACCCTTGGAATGGGCATAAGTATGCATATCTTTCAGTCTCTTAACCAGGTAGCTAGCTGCCTTCCAAATTTCTTGGCATAGACTAATGAGTATTTCCAGCACTGCATCAGTTTATTAAAACATTTCAATTAGTATTTAATTGATTCCTGGAGCCTTGTTTTTCGCTAATGTCTTCAGTGTAGCTTGGATTTCTTCCTTCCATACCATGGGTTTTTGATCATGTGCTACC